TTTTAACGGCACAAACCAGCACAAACCGAGCACAAACGACCTGTGCTGTTTTGAAGTCAATTGCGCAACATGGGGTGGAGAGTGACGTCACACGTTAAAAAAAATAATGCTTAATATCTCAGACCCCAAACCAGCACAAACGTTCGTTTTTGCGGCACAAATCAGCACAAACGTAGCACAAACGAATGGCATAGTTTTGGGGATTATTTGTTTTTATGGGGTGCCAACTTCACGGAGGTTTATTTTGGGAAAGTGAGAGATTGGTATATGGGTCGAATCATGCTGGAAGCTGAACATTGAGTGTTGACTGGCCTCAAGGCTGTCCTAACTAAAGGTCAAGTTTGAAATGAGTTCAATGTAAAAATGCCGGTGGATTCATAATCAAAACGGCTGTTTTAGGGCTTGTTCGCTAGTCAGGGTATCCACGGGGACTTAAAAAGTCTTATATTATTTTAAATCTCAAAAGCCTCATTATAGCTTTTAGCTTATATGTCCTGATATATTGTGTAGTAGGTCTTAATTTTTTTAACAGGTCTTAGTTTTTCTTTGTTCATGCCATTTTGGCCATTAACACCTTTACGATCACCAACAATCCCAAGCTTAATAAATCTTTAAACTTTTTATTTAAAAATTGCATTTAATTACTTTCCCTACAGTAACATTCGTTTATAAGTTCTCCATTTATTTACGTCCGAGAATACTGACCTGATGTTCATTTATTTATTTTTTTAATGAAATCTTTCTTATTATTGTAGGGCTGGGCGATTTGGCCTAAAATTCAAATCTCGATTAATAGAACTTTTTAACTCCATTACGATTAATGAATGATAATTTTTATTTAATTTTTTTGCCCTCAGAGTTCAAAGTCAAGTTCTGTACAGTAAATATGCTCAGATATTACAAGTGAGAGATTTCTGAATGAAGGGTGCATTACTTGATTTTAAAATAATTAAAGGAAACGCGCACACTATCTACTGTATTTATTGAACGTCAACATTGAACAAGATAAAACACACGTTACCTAAAACCATCATTCTTACTTATGGCACTTTCAGAAACAAATTAAATTATTTTCAGTGTTTTTCATATCAGAAGTAGAAAATAAGCAGCATCTCTTCTTAATAAACTACTCTTGTATATCATCTAAATCATATTTTAAACAGTGCATTTCTTGCATCTTCTGTAAACAAATATTTTAATGTAAATAATACTTTTAATGTGATGGGAAATATGGCATCTCTGGTGCAGCCTCCAATCATTGTCAATGTAGTGCAAAGTAAGGCTCAAGAATGGGTCCATCGTCCTACTTGACCAGAGATTTCTGCAAAGTATCATTCATGACCAAAGGACAAACCATTTTAAGCCTTTACTTAATTTAAAACAAATAAAGCAAGCACCAATAATTATTCTGTACAATTTTAGCCCATATTTCTTTACAAAGCACAAACAAATAAATACCATCTTGTAATCGCACTATTGCAAGCTCATTTTTCACCTAATTCAATTCAAAGTGGCAGCAGAAGTATAAATCAGCCTCTGCCTTGAATAGAGCTGGGTCATACTCCACACATGGCAGAATCTTCCTGGAAAAATTAGGTTGATTAAAGGTTTTGAATGTCAGTTTTGATTACTTTTCGATTAATCGCCTAGCTCTATATTATTGTATTATAAAATATATTAAATTATAATAATTTTTAGTTAGGGCAAATGAAAATCTTTTCCAACTGGAATATTTACAAAAAATCCTACATTTGACCCTGTCAACTTCATTTACAATGGTCTTATATTTAACTTGGTTAAACTGGCAGAAGCCCTGGTAGTGGTCCAGTGCTTCGTACACAGTCCAACTCGGAGTGAGCAGCAGTTTTAATCGCCTTCTGTTGTAGATATTTTATTTAATGCATAATTTAGTAAATGTTTCTGGAAACAAAAACAGAGGGACACAACTTTGTTGTTTAATGTTAGACACTTGATTGGCCCCTTTATTACAGCTTTAAAAATCATTGAGGTAAAGTTGGTTTTATATTTGCACATTCGTTCAGTGACAACTTGTGACATGCTCCCTGTATTGTTTACCATATTCGGTCTGAAATCACATGCAAGTATAACTTCAAAATAGTCATAGGCTGTATTAGAATCTGACGGTATTATAACCTTGGATAAAAATATCAAGGTTTCATATTGTGATTAGGTAAAGTTTAGATGTGATACAGCTGTGGTTGGATGGATATTTTTAATATAGCATAATTTTTGTGACACTGTACAACAATAATTGATATTTTTCCAATATTGTGATGGATGGTTTTTGGATTGAGGTAGGATTAGACATTAATAAGATACAATTTATTAGGTAATTTGATAAATGACATAAATTGTACCCTGAGCATCTGCTGTTATAATTATACTTTAAACAACTACATTACATTACTGTGACGTTTCACTTATAGTTGGAGTAGGGGTAGATGTTAATAAAATAAAATGAATGCAGAATTGATAAATATCATAAATAATTCTCATGAACCTTTGGCGGACCTGTATCATCTAGCAACAACCTTGTGATTACTGCTCTAAAATATGCTTTTTTTAAAATGTCTGGGTAAAAAACAACAACTCTACCCTCCATTGAACACCATATATTTTATTTAAAAAAACATTTGAGATGCTTTGAAACAGCAATTTTGCTTTTCATATATTTGCTGAATCATAGGCTGATCAGGCTGAGTAGCTTTTTATGTGGAGATATACAGTTGCCCTAAAAGAAATAAAATAGTCGTAAAAAATCTCAAAACATACACCTTGAAATGATATACAAGAATATTTTGCGGTTTTAAAACCTTGACTTTTCCCAACCGCGATAAACCTAACCGGTTATCATCTCATGCATTTCAAAACAACATAATTGACTGTCAACACTGTTATACTCTGATAGTCATTGGCAGCTAATATGATTTCCCTGTTTGAAATTTGCCAAAAAAAAAGTACTTTTATGAATTTATATTAAAGAGAAAGTCACAATGTTTGAATATAAAACCAACATTACCCCAATTAAAAATCAAAGGGAGAATCTACACATAAATTCACTTGATGTCTCACACTAGTGAGTAGAGCCAGCTGTTGAGTATTCTAAGGTTTGCTTGGATGTTTGGTCCTTTTAAAGTGGCTTTTTACTGGGGTGTGGCACTGAACTGTAAGCTGGGAAAGCAGTGTTTAGATCCTGGCAAGTGTTTTGAGTTACTTATTTATTTCCCCGTTTCATTCCCAAGCTTTCAACTGAAATGTTGCAGGGACAGTTTATACTGTATCCGTCCTCTGTTTTTTTGTGTGATGAATGAGAGGAAATGAGTTTGAATGGCTTGATTTTTGTGTTCTTTTATAGAGAATTTAGTCTAGGTGATTAATTTTCATGCCAGTGGACATTGTTTGGATAGTGTAAGGAATTTAACATTTGAGCTGCTCAGCACTTTATCTGCACTTGGGCTTCATCTGTTGTGCTTGCCTCCTCAACCGTGGAAGAAGGTGCAGAGTTAGTTCCGTCTGCGGTGGATGCCAGATTTGCCCATCACTCAGGCTACTTTTACGCAAAATTTATTTGTCTTTTTGAAAACTTGCATACTGGTGAAGTTATCAAAGTAATTCCTATTCAGATCTGCAGATGTTATTTAAACCTGGAATTTAGCATGGCTGACCAGTTATTGACTATGTCACTATGTCACAGCATATTGAGTACCACAAACAGTCCTGTTACAAATTTTGGTTGTCAGTATTCACAAATACATGTGCATGTCATTTGCTTTCCATAAAATCTTTTTTTTTTGTAGAATAGACAGAGATGATAATAGCATTGATGTCAAGAACATGCACTTTAAAGGCCTACAAAAACCATTGTCATGTAGTTGAATGGTAAAATGTATAAATGTTATCAGTTGATGCCTGAAAAGGAGACATGTAAATGGGGCTGTACAATTAATCGTAAAAAAATCATGATCTAGATTCGACCTCTCACACGATCTTAATCCAGCACCTTTATGATTGAACCAATTATATTTTCAAGTTCAAGAGAGAAAGACAAAGCAACATGGACATGGTCAGACTACAAATGGTCTTGAAAGAGTCACATACTGTATTTATAAAGTATAGAGAAATCGTTTAGAAGCCGCACAGGAAGTATGATTTGATATGTTTTTTTTTTCTCAAAGTGACTGCAGCTATGGCATGAACTGCACTTGGCAGTGAAAGTGAAACTGAAAGCGAGCATATCATTTAAATGATCATATTGCATTTTAGAGTTATGATTTTGACAGGCATTTGATCTGGGTTTTTTTTTCCATAGCGAACACAAAGTGCTTTGGATGAAAATAAATGTTTAACTGTGTGAGTATTGCTACTCTAGCCAATAATGTTGAATATAATGCCAGAGGGAATCTGATAATGACAAATGTCTCCTTTTACCAGTGCAAAAAATGTCTAATAATGTTGTCAATGACAGATTGCAAGCATATATCTTAAATATAACGATTCAACTTCAGAATTAAGAATAGTTGTATTCTTATGTAATCACTTTACTGTGAATTAACAACCAGGACAAATTCAAAGTCTATTCAACTCAACCATTTCTTGTCTATAAAAAATAATATTTATTATTAATGTTATTATATATTTTTTACCTTTTAAGAAAAAACAATAATAAAAGCCTACTCCTATTAACCTTTATTTGACTTCTACAGAATCATGAAAAAAATCGTATCTTTATTTTAAGCAAAGAAAAAAATTTGATTCTTATTTTAGCCAGAATTGTGCAGCCCTAGTTGTAAATGTGACATCAGAGGTAAATGAAATTGATCAGTGAAACTCTGTTATGAACCAGACAATAGAACCAAATGTGAAAGCACCCTCAAACTTATTTTTTTTTGCATTTGAGTCATATGTTTAGTTGTTTTAAGAATGAGTAATTTAATGGGACTTTATTAAACTGTTTTGTTCACTTGTTTATTTCTCTGTAGGTCTGGCAAGGACCGTCAAAAATGTAAACCGGCAATTGATACTCGACCAGATAAATTTTGCACTAGTAGCAATGGAGCGGAGCAAGCGCAACTCCATTGCTGGGTTCCCAACTCGGCCTGATCGCCTGGATGACCTGGATTCTGGAGGAGGAGCAGAAACCAGTTCACTACCACTGGATAGAGTGTGTCCCTCTTCTTACCGGGCCCTCATCAGTGCCTTTTCTTGCCTGACCCGACTTGATGACTTCATCTGCGAGTGGATTGGCTCTGGGTTTTTTTCAGAGGTTTACAAGGTAAGAAGGTTGTCAGATGAAAATGAGTCCGTTTGAATTCAGTTCTTGGTCACTTAACCACTCGCACAGTTCAGATCTGACATAGTTCATTATAGTTATCCGTGAACTTGAAAGGGTTGATTAACTTAATGACTACCAGGTTGTTGTGTCAGTCATACATATTTGGTTATATAAAATGAAATGTTGTGGTAGAAGTGATGACAGGATACTTACTATTGCATTACAGTGATACTTGTGAGTAGATTAAGCCTTGAATTAATCTGAAAGGTAGAAGTAAATGATGAAAAAACGTTGTGGCTGAAGTTGGTAATGTTGCAGTTTGTGACCTGCTTTAAATGTCAAAAACAGCTGCTTTAAATGCTGTTTAGCCTTAACAATTGCATAACAATGTCTGTCATTGGCTGACAGTGACACAAGTTCAAATCCGGCCTGGTTCATGTCCTGATCCCATTCCATCTTACCTCATCCCAATAGTTTCCTGTTTCTCTGCACTTATCCTGTCATATAAAGGAATTAAAAGGCCATTAAAAAGGCTGTATAGATCTTTCGATTTCATGACATGTGTCCTTTAAACCTTTTTTCTTTATAGCATATTTATGACTGTTTCAATTCTTGATATATTTAATAGGAGTAGATCATGTTACAGAGTGCTTTTTCTTTTGCATCTAGTGTTGATTAGAGTTTGTGATGTGTGCCTATTCAATTAGTTTCTGCTCATAAATACTGCTAACTTCCTGTCTTAAACTGAATGCACCCATTGATGTGGAGCATCAATAGCATGGTTGGCTTTTGTGGGTTTATATTCACTGTGTATAATTCAATGAAGTTTTGAGGTCAGAAAAGCCCTGAGAGAACAGTGTGTCATCATGATGGCAATTACCAAGATCAATTCCTCTGCCATAGCAGTGGACTATCACTTTGAGCATTGTCTCTGCAGAGCTTCTCTGTTCATACATTCTGCATCAGGTTTTTTCAGAACGGGATTCTTAGGCTTGTTATTTATTTAGAAGTCACAGCTCAGCTGATTTTAAATCAAACTGTGAGTGGTGTGAAAAGTGTAGTAGAGCATAAACTTGCCTTTTTTAAATGATGTCAGTTACCTCGGGTAGATTATGCAACTTTTGCTATAAGCCGGTCAGAAAAACTATTTGTAGAGCAGCCATGGCCTAATGGTTAGAAAGTTGGACTTGTGATCCAAAGGTTGCAAGTTTGAGTCTCAGGATTAATATTAATTGTAGGCAGGGGGAGTGATTAACTAGTGGATCTCAGCCACCATCAATACTAGGGCTGAGGTGGGTTTTATTTGCACTGTTTCCAATAAGTGGTATGGTATGGTTCGGTATGGGTCACTACTGCCAAAAGGGTACCAATGGTACCCTTTTGTTTGGCGTTGACGTCATTCTCGCTCAAGAAAATGTCTACATTAAAGCTGTACAGCTCATTCACATACCATTGACAAACACTTCTCACCAAACAGGAGCTTTATACTTAAACACTTGTGTATATATGTTCTTTACTTACTGTTCTATAAACATGATTTGATTATAACTGCAGATCAATGACAGCCTACTGTAACGTCTGAAATTATATAAAATAAATAAATAAATAAATTCAACATATGCACACATACAGACCCTTACTGTGCATTCACACTGAAAGCGGCGAGAGCCTCAAAGGCCGCTCTGGCCACCCTGGTGAAAACGCTGTCTGCCTTTACCTCCAGCAATGAAGGAGTCAAAATTCGCTACATTGATCTCGTATTTAAAGGGGCCGTTGCAGCATATCATATCAGTTACATTCCCACATAAGACAGGCTATGAAGATGTTGCACATTTATTATTAAATTAATTTAACAATGGAAGATCAAGTTGCATGTGGTGTGGCTTTGCTTCACTTAATTATCCAATGTGTCCATATGTCTGAATTATTCTCGCATGAAATTCCCACTTTTCTAAAGAGAAAAAAATAAATAAATAAAAAAAAAAAAAAAAAATATATATATATATATATATATATATATATATATATATATATATATATATATATATATATATATATATAACCTTAATGCACATCAGCTCGCCAGTAACTTTTTTAATGTATATTCCTGTAAGCAAACTTTAAATTATTGGAAATCCGGCAACTGCAATAATCACATAAGACTCTTGGGAACAACTGTGATTGGAACTCCTCTCAAGCTGTGGACTTCTACATTCTACATTCAAAAACAACACTAAACATATAGGCTACAGTCAGTGCAAACCTCTCATCTGTATCTTTAATCTTCACCAGCACATGTAACCCCTTTGTTAGAAAGTAATTTTGTCATTCCAAGTTTATAATAGTTCAAAAGGTGATGATAATAGTTAAACATGGCAGTTTGTTCATCTTTTAGGTTGCTGAAAGAATCATTTGCTCTTTTGTTGTTTTTAAGGCTTTTCTGTTTTTTTGCGCGTCACATTCATGTTTGTCCATTTCTGAAACGATTATATGTCAGAAGGACTTCAATAATCACGTCCATGTTATTATTATCAGCTCAAGTTCATTATTTCAAGTATATACGCGCAGCAAGCACGCAAACTCTCCAGAAAGTGAAACCACTCGTGCTCTTAGATGGCCTCGTAAACAATAGGACACCAGTTAGATTCTGCTCATCTTGGCTTTGTGGCTGTTCATCAAGGTGACGACAAGGTTTGTTTAAGCTCGAGTCAACTTTGACTTGTTATTATATGTATATATTATTACGGTGTAATGTCTTGGCTGTGTATTTAAAAATGAAGCTTTCTGTTTTCATTTTCCTGCTTGTGCATGCACTAGTGATGTATCTCTGTAAACCAATAGCAGAACAGTTTTGTTGTGCTAGGAAAGAGTACCCAAAAAGTAGTATGGTACAGTTTGTTTTTTTGGTACGTTTTGACAGTGGAAAAAGCCATAAAAGCATACCGAACCATGCCATATCATATCCTACCGTACCATACCATACCTCACCACTCAGTGTCAACAGGCCATTAAGCAAGGCACCAAACCCTTAACTGATCCTCAGGAAACACAGTATTCGGTGTTGTGTGTTCTTGGGTGTTAGTAATTTTGGAATAAAGCGTCTGTTAAATGCTTACTATAAATGTACAACAACTTGTCACTTAAGCAGAACCTTTAAAGGTCTAAGCAAACTTGAATTTTAAGAGACTAACTACTTAGTAGTAGTTATTGTTGATGTGACATCAAGTGCTTTGAAATGTGAATTTTTATTCAGTGTTTACGTAAGCTCAACCGAAACACTGGAGGGAGGGTGGGATATTGTGTAGCTCCTCCCCTTTTTCAAAATTGCCAATAGCGGTTTATCAACGCTCTTGTTTTGTCAGTGTTTTGGAGCACGCTAGCTTTAATAATATCTTGAAAATGAATAAGACTGATACTAAAAAAATATATTAATTTCATGGGACCTTTTAATGCGAGCACAGCTTATGGTTGTTTGGCAATAGCAGACTCCACGGGATCGCAAATTCAAGGCTCTTTTAAAATGGAAAGAGTGATGAGACTGACACCTCCTGAAGACAGATATTAGAAACTTTAAATTGTACCCTTAAGCTGAACCTTTAGTGTAATATAAGGTACAAAGTTGTACATTTAAAGGTACTAAGCTAGTGACAAGCTTTTGGATCCTTTCAGGTGCAATTTGTTCCACTTAACTTCTAGAGTGCATGTTGCAAAAGGTTTTTCCAAGCACTTTATATTGTGGCCTGCAGTTGCCCCATATTTGATTATCTTTTGTGGTATTTATGTGAACAACCTACATTCTGTGCTACTGAAAAGAATAAATCTGCCTTCACTTTGCATCGAACTGCAATGTGAAACGGGCTGCGATATGAAATATGTATTATTTAACTCACCCCATCCAGAGCAAATGCGTGACCGTCTGTGTGTGAGTCTTACTAGCCAATTGAGTGAGAAAGCGTTCGTTCTGCCCAATCAGAATTGCGCAACCGAACTATGGTGAATGCACACAATAAAAAAACAAACAAACAAACAGTAAAGTGTGAACAAGTGGTATGATGGCATCTGCCGCTTCAGAAGCATTAATGGATGAATTAATATCACAGAAAAACAGCACATCAGTAACATGGGAATATCTGTTTCAAAGTCACAGACACCAAACAAAACCAGGTAATTAGTAAGAGCTGTCGCATAATTGTTGCCACAGCATAAGGAAATACAACAATCAGCACCTAAAAAAGCACCACATGCGGCTATATAAGGAGTGCTAAAAAGTCAACTAAATGTATTGCTAGTGACTCTTAATCTAGTAGCAAGCAAAGTACAATTTCAGAGTTGTTTGTTAATATAAGTTAATATCTTTTCAGTTCAACTCACTGCATTTTAGCAGTAAGAAGCTACAATACAGATTATTGGGCTGAAGCTGGACTACCAAATTAAATTGCAAACCAAATCAAAATCGCAATATCTGTCAAGAAAATCACTATTAGATATTTTCCCCAAATTGCACAGCCCTACTCTTTCACAAGACAAGTGTCCAGAAAATGCAAATGTTTAAGCCTTTCGTAAACTTTGACTAATCTAGAACATGCAATGTTATTCCTGTGTAAGCATGGGATAACCGGTTTTTATACGGTTTGGAAAAGTCAGTGTTTTAAAGCCGCAAACATTTTCTGTTATACCATTTCTAAGGTATATGTAAGGTTTTTTTTTTTAATGTGTTGTAAATAAACGTGTTATTGAAACTAATGAAGACCTCATTCAGCCTGAAATGTTTAAAAATATTATGTTTCCTAAAATAAACTATATATGTTTAATGGGATAAACAGTTGTTGTTTTTAAACCAGACATTTTGAAAATAATTTATTCTAATAATTTATGAAATCACAATAGTGATGCCGTGGTATTTTTATCCAAAGTTATCATACTGTCAAAGTTATACCGGCCCATGCCTATTCCTGTATAAATGATAAAGCATTGGTCAATCAGACTTGCATTTCCAAGAAATCCCTAATCATTCTTTCCTTACGTTTAACATTACTGGATAGTATCTGGTGATTTGTTATATATCCATTAAGAATATTCCCTCCCTTGCCCACACAGGTGGCTGAGATTTAATGGTTTTAGGATGACAGGCAGGGGGTGTCTGCATGTGGCACAGGCAGGGGTAATACGGTGAGCCGAATACCAGCTGTGTTGGGGGTCCACAAGAACCCGTCTGGGAAGCTAATGCAATTACAGCCGTTTTCAGTTTATTAGAAGAAACAAGCTTGAATCTATTATACTGTGCTATCATATGAGAAGAAAACATCCTAAAACCACACAGAATCCCTAAATTATCAAATTGCTCAATTCTCTAATCTGTCCACATTTTTGGGAACCGAAACATTATCCCAGAACTCTGTATCTGTGGCGTGGGCATCAAGCTGTGACTTGATAATAGCAGAACAGATTGAGATTTTGGGTGCTGTAGAGGAAGCATCTGGGTCCATGTCTGACAGGCGGCTCTCACTGTAGGTGGCCGCATGAAACGGGCTCTTCCTAGACGGCTGATCTCCCAAAGTGAGATTGGTCGCCATACAGCCTGTGCCATGCTAAAGTGATATTTCAAAAAGCTCACACTGTTTCTAGGTGTTACAAATGCAACATTTACAGATAACCACAGACTTTCAATGTTTTATTTCCCTAGCAGTTCATTTTGAGTGATCCTGTGTTGTCTTTTCATCACTTCATACGATTTGAGGAAGTCAGCATTTTTCAAACATAGAAGATGGTTATTTTTTTCGCACTCATGAGGACATCCTGTGGTTTATATTTGTGGTTTATATTTGGTCAGAGAGATGAAAGCACAGAGAGGAAACTGGGAAACAGATCTGCAGAAGCACTGTTCAGAGATGTTGCGAAAGCCCTAACTGCTGATGTCCAGTAGTGTCTCATCGTGTAGTGTTTATTTCCTTTATTTATCTTGTGATTTTGAATTTTTGTTGTGAAATAACGATTCTGTTCATTCTCATTCTTTGTGGTCATTAATGGTACTTCTCATTTGAGTGGTATTGTTGGTATAAAGCTGTGGGTTTTACTTTCTAGTTTGCAATGTAAGGAAATACCTCAGTCAGTAGTTTATAAGAAGCGAGATACTGAACGAAAATCTGCAGTCTTTGTATGCCTTTAAGATAAACTTTCAGACCATATAAGAACTTCAATGAGATCCTTCTACTCCTTTTACATGCCTGTGTGGTTTCACATTTAGAGGAAAGTCTGTTGTTCACACTTAACATGTTCGCTTAGATTACAAATAACTGTGGCGCGATTTGCTCTGTTAGTGTGGTTTACTTGAACAGGGTTAACATTTCCAAACAACTGAGGTGTGGTTTAGCTAAAATATGAATGCAACGCAGACAAAATACATCTAAATTTATCAAAAACAGGACATGATGTCACAAGATGGGCTCATAAAAAGGATAGAATGCTCAATCATACCTGTTTTTTCTTGTCATGGTAGTGTTGTTGACCAGTTCAATAGATGTGTTGGAAATGCATCTTCATGTGTTGGTTTAAAGGGAATTACTGGTGCTGTTTTGACTCAAATTTACACATTTTATATGACCAGCTCTTAACTATGGATGCACAGATTTTATTTATTTATTTATTTATTTTTACCAATTTAAACAAAATACCTTGTCCAATTCTTATATTGATGCTGTGCAGGTAAACCTCACTTAAAACTTTCGCATGCGGAAAGTTGGTGTTTCGATCCCAGCTCAGAGCGGGTTGGGTGGTGTAGGACCAGTAGGTCATGCAGTACTAGCTATTTTTTTCTAGTGTGTGCACGTTAAATACATTTTACTGAATTGGATTTAACATTGATTGGATCCATTTCACAATGAACTGTCCAGCATTTTAGAAGAGGCAAAAATTCAGGTTAAAATAATACAATTGAACTCTTTTCAAAGGTTAGGTTTTTTTGTTCGCTATTCAAGATTTGCTAGCAATATTTTATTTTTTTAAAGAAGAGTAGCTTTTCTTTTGAAACAAAAACTCTTAAGAACGTTGGATTATTCAAAACTAAAGACATCCATGTAATTAATAAACCATAAGCATCGGCTCTTTTTCCATCCTCGCCTCCTGATCATCATTATTATTAGCATTATTATTACTTCTATTTATCTTAGTCGTTACTCTTATCACTGTTCTGACTTGTCCTCCTATTATCTGTTATTTCCTGTTATAACATCATTATTAGTATTTCTACCATTGACATTATTCAGGTTGTTGTTGATGCTGTAATAGTAATAGTAGTTGTCGTTGTGGTCCTTGTAGTAGCAGTTGTTGTTGTGTTGTTGTAGTAGTTGTAGTTGTGGTATCAGTAGTAGTTGTAGTAGTTCTCATTGTAGTAGTTGTAGTCCTTATTGTAATAATAGAAGTAGTAATAAAAGGTGAAGAAGTAGTAGTGCTGGTCGTAGTAAGTAGTCATTAAAGTTGTAGTTGTAATAGTAGTTGTTGTGGTTGTAGTAGTTGCAGTTATAGTAGTAGGTGTGGTCGTTGAAGTAGTAGTAGTAGTAGTAGTAGAAGTTGTAGTAGTAGTGGTAGAAGTTGTAGTAGTAGTAGTAGTAGCAGTTAAAGTAGTAGTAGTACTCGTCGTCATAGTAATATTATTGTTGTAGTAATACTCTGTTGTAGTAGTAGTAGTAGTACTCGTTGTTGTTGCAGTAGTAGTAGTAGCACCCGTTGTAGTAGTAGTAGTAGTAGTAGTAATAGTAGTAGTAGTAGTAGTAGTAGTAGTTGTTGTTGTAGTACTCATTGTAGTAGTAGTTGTTATTGTTGCAGTAGTAGTAGTACCCATTGTAGTAGTCATTGTAGTAGTAGTAGTAGTAGTAGAAGTAGTAGTAGTTGTTGTTGTTGATGATGCAGTAGTAGTAGTTGTTGTACCTGTTGTAGTAGTTATTGTAGTAGTAGTAATAGTACTCGTAGTAGTTGTTGCAGTAGTAGTAGTAGTAGTAGTAGTAGAAGTAGTTGTTGTAGTTGTAGTCATAGTTCTGGTAGTAGTAGCAGCTGTAGAAGTAGCATTAGTAATTGCTGTAGTAGTGGTTAATATAGTATTTGTAATTTATTATTATTTTTTTGTTTATTTTTCATCTGTTTGCTGTTGTTGTTGTTGTTTTCTGTTCTGCTTCCATTTGTATGTGATCTCCACTTATGTACTTTTTGCATACTATTACAATAAAAAAAAAAAAGCATTGGGCCTTTTCTATATTATTACCTATAGCTTTAAATTAATCCAATCAGCAGCTGATACACTGGTGCATTCCTACTTTCAACTTATAACAATTACATCACATTTACACAAGTACAGCCAGTTTATTCAACCAGCACACTTTTTTTTTTTTTTTTTATGATTAAAAAAAATATACAGAATATAGCTACATCATAAAAGCTATTATGCATATTTGGGCTTGGTCTTGAAAATGAAAGCATGAACACTAATGTATCAGGATATTCATTATATAATTATTTATTTAGTTTGCACCAACAGATTACTCAAGATATACAGACACGCACTAAAATAATGCTGTTTATTTGTCTTCATTTTAGGTGCGCCACAGAGCTTCGGACCAGGTGATGGCACTAAAGATGAACAAGCTGAGCAGTAATCGTGCCAACATGCTGCGAGAAGTACAACTCATGAACAGACTGTCTCACCCAAACATTCTCAGGTTTGCTTTCAGTATTACAAAGTTATCTCAGTGCGTTTTCCTTTGTGTTGGTTTTCTGTGAATTTAAAAAGGAACTAACGCTTTCTTTTCTTATTCATTTGTGTTAAAATGATCAGGCAGAGAAGCTTTTTTTTTAGATGGAGAAAGGACAACAATTGCTACAAAGACTAGAGGAGAGGAGGATTGTAAAATGAGCAAGGCTCAAAGTTCGGGCCTGGCTTCATGAAAAATGTGATTGTAAATGCCAGTATGCTCTCTTTTTAAGTTTTCTACTGCCGAGTGTCTCTGTGCGGTTACTTTATGGAGCTGGTGATTGCATTTGCGGTTTACTCTAACAAGAAACTAAGGAGCTGTGCCCAATAAAAGTGAATTTAATGCTTGTAACTAAAAGAAATGATGGAAATAACACGTGTTTCAAAGAAAAACAGGACTGCGGGATTCATATAAAGCAGTGGCTGATGCAGTTTAATATTAATATTAGCTTTCCTACTCTTTGAACAGGGAGTGTGCCTCGCTTTATGCACTGCCAGTGGCTCAAAATTAATGCTGTCTTTCAAACGGTGAGACCGTGGGAGTGTCGCTTTCATTGCGAATCGTTCTCTCTTTTGTAATGGAAACGCAGGGATGACCTCTTCCTCCCCGTTCCGCAGAAATCAGGTCAGAAATCCATTAACAATAAATGGAGTGAAACGACATCCTGGGTCTAGATTTCATTGAGATCAAAAAGAAAGCTGTACTCTTCGATCTTTACATCAGCACGGCGAGGCAATTGTGCGTTTTGTCATTTGAGAATGTCCAGCAAAATTGGAAATCGAAAAGTTGTGCCGATGTGGACCATTTATTTTTATTTGATTAATTTATTATTTGTTTTTATATATTTGATGGTTTATTTTTATCTAGGAATTAATAGGTTATATGACAAAATGACACTTAAATTTAGAAAGCTGTAGTCTTTTTAATCAACTCTACTATACGCATTTTATTTTCTCTGAATATGTCTGGCATTGTTTTCATTTTTCTTGATATTTGGCTTGTTTGCAGAGCAGAATGTGAGTTTGTGGGTGGATGAAAGTGAGAGAGAGAGGGTCTGTGTGTGGTTTACAATCACATCATTGTTGCGTCTTATTGAATGGGGGTGGAGAGACCAGCGAGACAGGAGAAGGCTGAGGGATCTTTGTTGAAGAGATCCCAACACAGACCCACAATAAAAGTCACGCTTGGGGTTTATGGGGCCGTAATTTGGAGAACACTGACAAATTTGTGTCCTGTGTGACGACGAGTGTGAGGGTGCCGTTCAGAGATATAGATACCTTTTGTGTCATGACTAAGAACAAATTAGTGAAAGGCAACACTCTGTATGACTGTATTGTGTAAGCCTTATAGTGGACATATCTTAGGTGTGTGTGTATACGTGTTTTTGTGACATATCAGGACACAAATCTGTATAATGACATGGGTATGACACAGGTATTACAAAAAGGAGGTGAATTATGAGGACATTGGTGATGTCCTCATTTCTCAAAATGCTTATAAATCCCACAGAATGAGTTTAATCAGAGAGTAAAACTGCACACTGTCTCCTGTGATGGTTGGGTTTAGGGGTAGGGTGGGGTGAGGGCAATACAATATACGGTTTGGACAGTATAAAATGAATGGAAACCTATGCAATGTCCCCACTTTTCACAAAAACAAATGTGTGTGCGTGTGTGTTTGTGTGTTTTATCCTATCGTTTTGACTGTTCATGATTTGCTTGTACAAGTGTTGGCTTTCTGAAAAGTTGACTCTGCTAATAGCTTTTTTGTCATGTTTTGCTTTGGTGTTAAAGTAAAGATGCACAGTACAACATGTGATCAATTTAGTTGTATTTATTTGGTCATATACAGTACGTAGTACCATTTAATTGTTTTTTATGTTTTAAAAGATTTCTCTCAAGCATCTCAAGTCTTATAAGTATAGTATTTAGGACTTAGTAAAGTACTAAGCAAAATAGTAAAAACTTTTGTAATGTTTCTAAATATTTCTGTCAGTTCTGAATCTGATTAATTTAATGCATAATTGTTAAATACAATAAATACAAAAAATCCATTCACTTTAAAAAATATTGCTGACTGTTGTGTGATAGATAAAACTACTCATTCATTACACAATTAATTCAGTGTGCAAATTCAGTCATTGCTGTGGAGACCACACTCAATGTGTGCTCATGCTTCATTTGTAGAAAAACACTTAATTTTTTTATTATATCTAGCTTTAATTGTGTACAGCTACTCAGCTAACATAAAAAACAACTGTCATATTTCCTAGTTCCTCCAAAAGCCCACTGTTTAAAGGCTCTGATTGGTCAGCTAACATAGTGTGCTATTATTCGCTTATCCGCCACACTACACCAGGATGCGTCACGCCTCTACTAGCACACACTGTGTCTCTGTTGTAAATACTGTCAGTCAGAGTGACTGTTTGAGCCTGAATCTGACAGAAAATTAAGAGGACACAGGTAAACTTCATGCCCGCTCTCTAAAATAAATCTGACAAGTGTCTTTCATATATATTCGGAATAAGCATGTGCAAGTAATATGAAACGTTCACATATCTTTTGCAAATTCGTTATTCGAGATGTAGAACGCAGGGAAAGCAGACGCATAGCGAGACACTGCAGTGCTAATGAAGATTGTGGGTGCAGGGGTTTGACGGATAAATATGAGTTTGTAGCTAAATTGTTACCGCGAAACAACATTTCCTGATGTTTACATACTTTTTACAACATGCCGTTAACGCTAGCTACTATGCATTTACCAGATCAATTTTAACAAACAAAAATACTTATAGGTTGTGGCTCACAACCCACAGCTTAGTCTATTATGGTTGGAGCTGCTACTCCTTTGGGGAGTTTTTAGCTGAATCCAGCGTTAAACTGGTAGATTTTGGAATGCTAGTTATATATATATTTTAAATTTTCTGGAACGTTTTAAAATTAAATTGTAAGCACTTGTCTCTTTGTTTTTTGTCTTTTGGAATACTAAATATAGAAAAAGAACAAGCTCTGTGGAAATAGCAGTGTGCTTTCTGTGCTATAACATTTCAGGGCATCTATCGACGCCCCTTTGCTTCCCAGGGTGTATGCCCATAACCTGAAGGGTTTATGATCTCATTAACCTGGATGTATTTCTTTGTAGTCTCCAAACTTTGTTCACTGTAAGCTAAGCTAACTGCTAAAAGCCAATGTCTCCCTTTGCATTGAACTTTCAGCGTATTACGTTCAGAGGTGTTGTTTATGTTCACACAGCTACATTACAGATGAATTAAAGTTTAAAATATGATATCATAGTGGACTACACCTTAATATTTTTATAATATAAGAATATTTGCATTGCATCCTAAGTAAAATAAAAAAAATGAATTCTCACATTTTGTTTTACTCCCTTTTCTGTCTTCCATCTTTAAAAAAAAGGGGGAAAAAAACAGCAGAACTGAAAACCAGTTAACTGTTTGTTTTTACAGCAGAAATCTTGCTTTTACTATACCATTGCGCCCGTTCATATGACAGTCTCACCCTCCAGCCGACTGGAGACAGTCTCACATTTTATAGCGTTTGTTGATATACAGCACCATAAACCTGTCTGAGTTTATGGTGTCATTTGTAAAAACCATTTTTGACACCGAAATGAGCGTAGACATTAAATAAGCCTATTGGACAGCAGCCTCAGAGAAAGCGCTGGCACAGATGGCAGCAGCTCAGTCTAAGTGATAGTGCTGAATTTGCTCTTGCATGTTGCTGTTGTTTCAGAGCATTAAACTCGCTTTTCTGTGTGTGTTTTTGTGATGTAGATTCATGGGGGTGTGTGTACAGGAAGGTCAGCTCCATGCGCTCACAGAGGTAAGTGACATCAGCTCAAACGTGTTTCATTGAACAAAACACTCATATCTACATGCACACAATGTATTTGACCCTTATTATAGGCTGCACCTTAAACAACACTGTACTTTATCATATCAATGACATTGCAGCATGGCCTCCTCCTAGCTTGGAAATAAAGGCGAAAGATAACTTGTAAAAGATAGCCTTTTGTACTGATAACACTTTATTGAATTTGTTCTTGAATAATAGTCACTCTGCTGGAAAAAGTTGGTGCTCGCAGGGTACCTTTGATTCCTAAATCTGTGGCATTTCCCTCTGTGAATCAAATGAGTCACTGTGACATTGAACAGTTTAGTCTTTGTTTGCCGTGGCCTGAGGGGAAGTATTCTATTAGAGAGCCCACTGGCAGTTCCCTAAGGCATGTTGTATTTTTACCGTCTCACGCTGTGTATGTGTGTTGAGCTTGTATGGATGTTGCTGTGCAATATTGGCTTATGCTGAATATTAACACTGGTTACCCAGGAAAATTGGGGTTTATTTTGTAAAGCAGGTACTGTTTGTTTCTCTTTTTGTCAAATCCTGCTAAATTGTAGACCTAGTAGTTCAACATGTTTGAGTTGTGTTATTCCCCGTTCACGCGAATATGTTTTAGTTCGAAAGCGCATATGTTTTGGTACGATTACAACTTCCATACACACTACCGCGGAGTTTTTGAGCACTGAAAACTAGGCTTTTTGAAAATGCTGAAGAGGCCGTTTCATTTTAACATGCTGCTGCTCCGTGTCAGTGTGGATGAGGGGAAAACGGAGACCTCTACAGAAATTCACCCATCTAATTGCGGCTTTTCCTCAATATAAAATGCACAGATTTCAGTCTTGCACCTTTTCCTTAAGTCTGACTTCACAAGGTGGATATGGAAAACAAACTCCCAAACTTACCGTCGGGTAAATCTTCAAAGGGAACAGTGTACTTTATAACCTCATTTACATGACATGTTGTCTTATCAATGAAATGAAAACATGATATAAGGAACTGCCTAATTTGATTTTGATATTAACAACTTAACAGACACCAAAAATGTTGAAGCGTCGTGTAGCTGCATATTTATATGACCGTCATCTTCACTGTATGCATATTTATAACAAAACAGAGCCTATAACTTAACTGGCTCCTTTCATTTTCATTGAAAATATGAAACATACCCAGTCTCTTTGCTGAGTTTCAGTTTTAATAATCAATACAAATGTAATATAAAATATACCACTACAAAAGTACAACTACAATAAGTTTATACAATATAGGAAATATAGGCAATCAATCAGTGAAATGTGCAGAAACAGTGTACGTGGTTATAAATTAATATATTAACTTATCTTTGCACTTGATCTTTGATGAACTGCCCGAAGTGGGCTGCTCTCATTTGAGGAAGTGTGCTCAAAGCACTCGCTGACTGCCTGGAGCTCAGACGTCCGCATACGCTGCAGCACATGATAGAGTGTAAGTGTGGTCAGTCACGTGCCATTGTGTAGACATGGATTGTTTTTAACACCATTACATATTAATGTAAACGGGGCCTTAGTTTGTTTTAGATGCAACAGTGCTACAGATCATTGTTGTTGTTTTTATAATAGTAAAAGTAAATTTACAGTTGTTGAGACATATGCCCTTTGGAAAGATGGCATATCTCTCCTGTATGCGCTCAAATGCATTTCTTTCATGCACTACCATATAAAAGGCTTCTTGGCAAGAACCCTTAACATGCATGAAAACTTTCCGTTGCACTGAATGTTAATAATCATTAAAAAAAAAAAAACAGTTCTTCGGAATTTTAAAATGATTTTTATAGTAAGACATATTTTTTAATAACTGTTCACAGTTCCCCTTTTCACCAAAACAGTTTCAGTGTTTGTTTGGAGCCAGAGCCTAGTTTTAAATCATTTTTTTTTTCCTTTTGACACCCTAAACCCAGCTTTGAAACAGGAAAAATTTTTTTAAGTAGCACCAAAACAATGCTGGGCCAAAAGAACTGCTTTCATTATGGGCTGAGGGCAGGAGTACTGTGGCCAATGAGATGAATAGAAACTCTTTTAAGCATCAATTCAAGAGTTTACAGTTGATTAAGTTCTTGATTAAGTATTAAGGTAGGAAGGAGTAGAAGGAGTCTGAATATATGGGGGTGGGTTTTGTCGAATAACGCAGATGACTATGATAAGGAAGGCAGACTATTTATGTGCATTTGAGTGCACCTGATTGCTTATCTAATACTTGATAATGCGAGATGAAATATATATTTGTTCATTCATTTTCCTACGGTTTAGTCTCTTTATTAATCAGGGTCGCCACAGCAGAATGAACCATTAACTCATCCAGCATATGTTTTACACATCGAATGCCCTTCCACCTGAAACCCAGTACTGGGAAACATCCGTACACACTCATTCATACACATAAACTACGACCAATTTAGTTTATTTAATTCACCTATTGAGCATGTCTTTTGAAAGTTGGGGAAATCATAGCGAACATGGGGAGAACATGCAAACTCTTCCACGAAATGCCGAAACTGACCAAGCCGGGACTCAAATCAGCAACCTTCTTACTGTGAGGTGACAGTGCTTACCACTGAGCCACCATGTCGCCCAAATTTGTTTATAAAACTTCACATAATAATGAACTCATTATTTCTTCTAATGTCTGTCTATTCAAATTATGGCACACTCTGCAAACACCTTATTCTTCCTTATTTTCTTCATCTATACAAATTACGGCATACTGCATGAACACATTATCACTCGTAATCTCCGTTTATACAAACCATGTGGCTCTGCATGAATACTTTGGATGTGCTGTATTTGGATACCAATGTAGGTTCACAAAGTTATTAACATTAACAATGCATCATTGATGCTACATTTGTATTTGACGCTTCCGTATTTGCATTGGTGGGAAAGATGAGATGTATGCAGTGACATCAGACTTAGCACTATGGTGGCTCTCCAGTGAAAAAGCAGAGCAGTTCTTAGAAGGCTTTGCAGAATATCAATAGATTTAAACTAGCACCTGGTTTGTGCTGTTGGAAAATAACCCAAAATTGTCCTTCTATGGCATTACTGCTAAAGTTTTGTAACTATAAAAACTATATATAAAGAAAAAACATTATAAAAATATAGCCTTGTTTTATTATATTTATTGGTTTACTTAGGGATTTATAAAAAGAAACATGATTTTTCCAGATCTACAAATAGCTTAAATGTAGGCTAAATTAAGCTAGCACATAGCCTATCACATTCATCACAGGAAAAGGTTTCTAGTGAGTTAAGAAATGTCTTGATTTGAAGGTGTTTAGCTTATTTTAATGAGATTTAAAGTCACCTTCAGACAGCCTTGTAAGTTTGCTAAGGCCTCCTAATGGGTACCAAGTAGCTGAGACACTATCTGGTTTTTTTAAGATTATTAAGGAATTCTGAAAATCACTGAGTAGTTTTTAGTATACAAAAAATATGATTCTTAAAGAATTGTCATGTTGATTCACCATTGAAGATTTACACATTTCAAAAGCTCTACTTAACACCATGCACTGGTTTGACTGTGATATCTGCTCTAGATATGTGACATAATGTTTGTTTTTGGTTTTCTACAATTCCTGTTCCAATTATAGTTTAAAAACTATTACAGGTCTCTTCCTGTTCTTGCCATTGCCCTGTGACCTTTGCTCTGCTTTCTTGATTCATGTTGACAGAAAGAGGTATTAGTGCAGTGGTAATCACTGGCCTGCTGAAGGATTATACTATTTTTCAAAGCCACTGGGGCCTTATGTTGCTCATGCCATTAAAAGTCCAGAGTCATTTTTTTACCCCATAAAATCACTTCATTTAAAGCCCGCTGAGTGAGTTGACAGTGTATTAAAGGAGCTCGCTCATCACTCAACAGTTCTGAAATCAGCCCAGCAGGAAGGTTTTCATCCTCTGCTGTTGCCTGCATCAGCACCCAACGCACTCAAGGTTACTGTTTCACCAAGAGGATTAGTTCTATATAAGCATACACATCAGTCACCTAATCACTCGGAGCACACAGCTTTAGACCTAACCTAGCCCATTACTTTTTGTTCGGTTTAATCAGTGTGGGAGGACGTTGGATAGTCAATGCTGATCAAATTGTGCAACGCAGGATTAGCTATAACCCTCTGCAAAATCAAGCAGAAGCAGGGCATTTCCAGAAGAGAGATTTCCCTACATGGGTCTGGGATAGATGTTGGAAATGGGATCAGGTCTGTAAGATGAGAGAAATGGGATTAGACGGGACAGCCAGCTACATGGCGTGACTGGGCTTAGCTAACAGTTTAACATGTACACATGTATGTCTTTTTTTTTTTTTTTTACATGCTATTATTTTGTTACCAATTGGTGCATATATTTTAATAACATTTGAGTTTAAAAAAATGCTTTTTGGTACTGATGGTAGATGGCTGCTTTTAAATCCAGTTAAATCAGAAATTTCTGTTTACAACATATTTGCAGTTGAGCTTTCCCTGAGTTTAAAAGCCAATCAAAGTCATTGCCTTCATTTGTTGGACAATCTGAGGCATTCAGGTTAGTCTTAATGCGCTCAATATACCAGAGTTTCTTCAGGGTTTCTGTATAACAAGCACTTTTTGCTATATAATTTTAAAATTGGGAATGTCAAAATGAGTAATTTCTACAGCGCATCGTGATGGTATCAGTTTTATAAGAGACAATAACCAGTGAACCCAAGATCACTGTCAATTCTGAACGTTATTAGGCATGGGATGATAAGCGCTTTTAAGGTATACCGTGCTTTGGAAAAGTCGAGGTTTTAAAACCACCAAAATGTTCTGTTATACCGTTCCTACGGTATATGTAATATATATATATATATATATACGCTTTAGGACAACAGTATCTCTAGCAGAAAATATATCTAAATATGCTGTTTTAAATTGTAAAGAAATCAGTGTTTTTGAAACTAATGAAGACAGCAGAAGTCATATTTAGCCTAAA